AACATCCACAGAGCCCAGGGGTTGAGGAAAATGTAGTCCTAGATCTATCTGGCATCAGGGGGAATTGTTAACTGGATGGTCAGCTGCCTGCACTAGAAGAAGCAAGGGAGGATCAGCTGCTGATGGTTAGCACTGATGAGCAGCAACAGACCACCTCTAAAGAGGAACAGTTGCTACTCCCACCCAATCCGTGGACACAAAGAGTGGAGTGTAGAGAAGCACAGAGAAAGTTGGTGAGACTACTTGCAAGGAAGCAGCCTCACCCCTCCTAACGGAAAAACACTGGACTTGAGAGATTTAGCCAGATATGGGAGAAGGGGAGTTTGTTGGAGACAACCATTTACTTCTGCAGTGCACTCTTTGACTTCATGAACTTTGGACCTTGCTTTGTAGATGTTGGACCTTGTTCTTGCCTTTTGGATTGCAGACCCTGCTGTGGACTTTGGGCTCTGCTGTCGCCTTGTGGAATTGCAGACCTTGCTCTTGTGGTTGTCAGATCTTGTCCTTGGGATTGTGCTCTCGTGGATTGTAGGAGGTTGTCCTCAGGGAAATTGGGGCCAAACTTTACCAGCCTGACTACAGAAAGGTTGGGGGCTGTCAGGTTGCTTTGAGAAACAGCTCGACACAATACAGTTGTGCAGTAAACATACCATACTAGCACCTGCTCCTATTTGTGTGACTCCGGTCAGAATACCCTGTAAGGGAATCCTGGCTTCTCTCTAACTCACGGGTGTCAAACTCGCCGCAACACATGACATGTTGTGATGTATTGTGCCTTTTTTTGCATTGCCAGAGCTGAGGTGGCCGTGGCCTCCATATGATGCAGCCGGCCCACGGGCCAGCAGTTTAACACCCCTGCTAAGTCATCCCTGACTAATAAAGCTCTAACAGCTATTTTTTCCCAGTTGTGTTTGCAAATCCCATTCTAAAACTTCAAATTTGTTGGAAATAAGAGGGAGGTCTGTTTTATTTAGAACCTTTTCATGTAAAACGTTATCCTATATTTGGTTGTTTAGCTGACTTCCATGGGGAGAAAGATCTAGGGCCAGTACTGTGCTGTTTCTTTTTTACATATCATATAAGCCCATAGAAAATCTTGCTCTTGGCCTTTGTCTCACTCAGAATAGGGTAACTTATGTTTAAAAAGAGTCCTAAAATATGTTAATATAATTAGTGATGGGAGGCTTGTGAAATGTGTATTACTAGGCTGATGTCTCAAGCTCCTCCTACACATTGAAAGGAATATGCTAGCACTTGCTGTTTGCCTAGCCGGCAGTAATAATAATAATAATAATAATAGTAGTAAAGTTGGAAGGGACCTTGCATCTTCTCAATATTAGGCAGCAGATAGTTTTAAGCTAATTAAGATCACAGAGCTAAGATTGTTAATTTGAGGTTAGCATTTTTTAGAGAGGAGCTCTCCTGCCAGAAGCAGCTCAGGAAGATATAGTTTAAGCAATCCCTCGACTCTGGAAAAATGGGTCAAGCACAGGATAATGCATACTAACTGCTAAACATGTAATTCAGAGATGCTGCAAAGATCATAAATACATGCATTGGTCACAAAATTAATTTTTCACCATCATAACTACAAATTGAGACAGTCCCTAAGCAAGGATGGCCTGTAGATGAATTTTTAATATAAAGGATATGGATTTATCATATATAAACAGGGCTTAGATGAACTAATGACTGCCATTCTATTGAATACAAAACACTTAGGATCATATTTTAATACTCTAGGTTGCTTTTTGGATGACAGAGGAGTGATCAGCTGTGTCTGAAATGTATATTGGCATTTCTAAAACACATTCTTATCTATTCCATAGGTACCAGTTTCTCACAATCTGGAATAATAATACCTTGTTGTTTTCATTCCATTTAGTTACCTCCATCTAAATAAATTCTTTTCCAGAGAATTTTCTATGATTTTTGCATATCAAAGAGATCCCATGTTTCAACTAAAAAGACTGTCAGCCTGATTGGCCTTCAGCATTTCAACTTTGAATAAAGGTAGTCTTTGACCTACAATCATTTGCTTAGTGACTGTTCAAAATTATAATGGCATTGAAAAAATAATTTATGGCTGGTTCTCACACAACTGTTGCAGCATCCCCATGGTCACATTATCAAAATTCAGATACTTGACAACTGACACAGATTCATGGACAGTTGCACTGTCCCGAGATCGTGTGATCACCATTTGCAATCTTCCCAGCCAGCTCCCACAAGCAAAGTCAAGGTTCACTTAATGAATGTGGATTCACTTAATGACTAAATGATCCACTTAACAGCTGCAGTATTTCAGTTAACTGTGGCAAGAAAGGTCACAGAATAAAGTAAAATTCACTCTTGCTTAGCAGTGGAAATTTTGGACTTAAATTGTGATCATAAGTTGAGGACTACCTGCAATCTATTTCGTAGACAAGCTTCCCGGTGTTTTGCTATTTCATGCCAAAAATCTTATAAAATTAAGTTGCATCTTCCACATAAGAATGGGATTATCAAAACTGTAAAGCAACTAGAGAACTTCCGTTTGTTAAAAACATGTTTTATTCAGAGCAAGAGTGGAATAGTGAATGCAACTGCTTTAACAGCTGTTATCCATAGGATATAATTACCTGATTTTACCTGATAGAAGTGGTGACTCATAATGACCACACATTATAAATGAAGTTTACTTCAATTTGGTTTTTGTTTTGTTTTGTTTTTGTAGCATGAGAGATATATAGCTACAGAGTGGAACAACTCTAAAATAAATGAGTCCTACAATCAATATACGAAGGGAGGCTCAGCCAATCTCATTGTACACATGTTGTACTTTGACAATAATTTATGGTGAGGATATGTTTGAGTGTTTTTAGCACAGCTTCAGGGAATTCTCAGGACTCACTCAAACCTTCTGCAGCCACCTGTTATTTGACAGCCCAGAGGAAAATGTGAAGCAAGGGCTACCACCAGTCTTTCTGCTGACAAGTACCTATCTCAGCATGTTTCTCCACAGGTTAAATCATCTTCAGCAGAGCATATCAGATCTGATTTTCTCTGTTAATGTTTTTCTGTTTGTTTTACAGTTCTGTGCTGATTTTTAATATGATAATCTATATCTGCTGTCAATAATATATTGGACAGACATCTTATTCTGAATGCCACTGTTTCTGTGCTTGGCATTGGATTCAGAATTCTTTATCTAAGTTCCTGGTTTTCCGTAAGCTTCCCTAAAACTGATCCGAGTAGCTCATCATCTTCTGCGTCAGCACAGGTCTCTAGGTTAGGTATGTCCAACCTTTTGGCTTGCCTGAACCGCACTGAGTGAAGAGGAATTGTCTTGGCCCACATATAAAATATATAGTTAATGTATATAAACAACAAACTTCCTTTATTTGGGGGGGGGGCTTGTGTGCCCACATGATTAGCTGTTCAAGGCTGCATGCCGGCCACGGGTTGGGCATGCTTGCTCTAGTTTGTATATTTCTTCTTAGAACCCTGCTACTACAATATTTTGGGTACAGAATCGATAAGACTCGTGCTGGCTAAGTCACAATTACAATCACACAGCATGCATTTTCTTAAGAGCACCAACTTGTTAACTAATGGCGTCACTTCCCAAAATGTTTGGAGGCTCTTTTTCTTCTTCCAGAATGCACAGAAGATTAAGGAGGTTCAAAAAATAATCTAGGGTATCTCTCGCCATCTTTCATCAGACAATGGACTGTCATGCAATTGTTACTGCAGGGACTTGTCAATTATTTTTACAGAAAGACAAATGGGGCCTCTCTCAACATGCAGATAAAGATGCTCTAAATGCATTTTATCTTAAACCTTTTTATAATAAATCATTTCATGTTCATGAAAACAATGTCATTGCTTATTCAGCTGATGAAAAAAATAGACTTTTGTTTTCTGATTGTCACACTCAGTTTTGTCTAAGTTTCTGGTTTTCCGTAAGCTTTCCTAAAACTGATCCGAGTAGCAAGCACCTACTCCTAATCTGCAAAGCCCTGGTTCTTTTTTTTTTTTAAATCATTCTCCAGGTTGACTGGCAGGTCACATTTTTTTATATATTTTCTTGCCATTTCTAGAGTTGACTTATAGCCAATGTAGATCCTGGTCAGCAAGGAACTATTATGCCTCAACTGAGACAAAACACAAGGAACGTCATAGAATTCAGCTGAAAGCCCAGATTCCAGTGCATAGGAACATCTCTAGTACCCCTAGTACATTTCTGTGGGTGACAATTCATGCTTTCTTCTGCATTATTTATACGTCATCTCTGTGCAGAACATTTTACAAAGAGCATGTTATGACAGCGCTCTATTCCCACAAGCTACAGGAGCACAACAAAGGAATGGAAGACGGAGGTATGCTAACAAGAATGGATAAAAAAAATTAAGTATATTTTGACTTATTTACAATAAGATAAAGGAACCATCTTTTCATCTCTTATACCACTGCCAACTGTGGTAAAAGACTCTAAGAAACTCTAAGAAACAGTTTAGTGAACTTGCTCCATTTTCTGGGAATCAATCCTTCTTAACAATACCTAATCATTTCATTTCATTTTGTTTATCTTTTATCTTCTTTTATCTCTGTATCTTTTAATTTCCTCATCTTAAAAGCACTGAGCTACATGATCTGATTATCTAAACACTATAGGAAAACCTGCATAAAGCATTCAAATCAGCCACTTGACAAAGCAGGTTGATGTAAGTAAACCAGCCTGTCTTGAAACATTAAAGTAGCCATTGCACTCAATGAAGCTTTCCCCAGTTGTTTCTGGATGCATGTGCATACATGGCTGCTTCCCCAAGGTTCATTAGTGAGAACGTTTTAGATGAATTTCACCACTGGCTGTATTAATCATCCCTACATATACTGAAATCTGGTTAATAAACTATAAGTGAAAGTCAAAACACTTATAAGAAAAGAAACCTTCAGGAATAATAGTATTCAGGTAAAATCTATAACATTTATAACAGCATAAAATCACAGAATTGTACCTTATTCGCATGCTGCAATTTATCAGCAAATTGACTGATTTCTCTGAAAAGCAGGGATATTGTAGAGCGCCTCAATATGCTACATTGCCCAAACAGAACAAGGGTACGGGACATGGAATCCTGAATCTGAAACTGAATAAAAATATCAATAAGTTTCATCTCATTTAAAAAATGCTTTAATTAAATTAAAATGTGCAGATATATTCAGAACATTTTCAGGGCATCCAAAGGACTAGTAGAGACTAAACAAGCAAGTCAAACACATTTTATTGAAATGTACCATGCATCAATATAAAACTATTTTGTATACTTCACAATCATTAAAAATATGACTAGATATAGTCAGAAGTTTATTTGATCACAAACAGCATGTTAAATTACTGCCTTTCAGGCCAATGAACCAATTTTAGAACATTCTCTGGCAAAACCACCATTAGATATGCTGGATTTGATTCATGACCACCTGGTTTGCTTTATGACTATTGTAAAAATGGTTGTAAAATTGTATCTGGGCACATAGTGACCCGTTAGACAACCGCAATAACTTGTGACCAAATTTCCAGACTCAATTGTGATTAATTGGGGTCTACCTGTGAGCACCTGCAAAACCCAGAACCAAAGCACACAGAAGTGCAATTTTTTTCTCTCCCCATCCAAGATAAAAAACAAATCAAACTGATACTTTCAATTTTTGTTGTGTCTACGTACAAGTGCTCCTAACAAAATAAGCCCAAAGGATATTGTGAGAGTCGCAAGCTTAGTACGTTCTGAGCAATCACAGACCACTTATATGTATAATAAGAAGAACTGAAATTTTCTTCACTGAAGTAGAATTACCAAATTATAGGATATTCACTTTCAGGGGTCATCATAACCCTTTCACAGCTCAGTCCAACAAATTGCTGAACAATCAAGCCATACATTCTGATACAAGGATTGCAGAGCTATATAAATAAGAAAGTTCAGTTCCTGCCTTCAAAAGTACTTTACCCTCTCCCTTTTTCCTAGCACAGGATTGTATGGCATTTCTGTTCATTTCTGGAATTCCCAAAACAATGTTATATAAAACTGGAGGCATAAGCCTACACAAATTTGAGGTAATGAATTGCCAATATCTGATAGTTTGTCAACATCAGAATATTTTTCCTTGTTTCTTTCAATTTCAGTTTACAGTATATATGAACAGTTACTATTATACTATTATATTATACTATATATTATATGGTATATTATTATACTATTACTATTACTAATTTAAATGACGTGGATTACCAATATTTGTAACAGTAACAATGACAAATTCTCAATACATGTTATTTGTACCATAGGTACAAATAACATGTATTGGTGGCGCAGCAGTTAGAGAGCAGTACTTTAGCTGACTGTGTTCAGCAGGTCAGCGGTTCAAATCTCACCGGCTCAAGGTTGACTCAGCCTTCCATCCTTCCAGGGTAGGTAAAATGAGGACCCAGATTGTTGGGGGCAATGTAAAGCGGTGTACACCAGTAAGCAATGTATATATATAAATATATATATATACATTGCTTACTGGTGTACACCACTTAGACAGTGCTTGCACTTAAAGCGGTATATAAGTCTCATAAATAAATAAATAAATATTGTTTATTAATTTAAGAAAGTACCAATTTTTAAAGCCATCTTCATATTCTCTGCTAAACCTCTGTTGATGACAACAACCTTGTGTTTTAGTCTTAATATACTATGACTATGCATTAATTTTCAATAAGTAGCAAAAATGAAACACAGTGTGAGAGTCCTGTTGCTTTGTTCATTTCCAAGTTGATTTTCAGAATTTCAAAATCTCACTCATCTTGCTATCATTCATTTATTTTTAATGGCTATATATTAAAATATTATGAGGGATTCTAACCTTCCATTGTTTAAACTGGCCAGGTTTTACATTTTTCTATGCATATAAAGAGAAGATATATAAAATTGATAAACTCAGAATAGAAATCTCAATAATTCAAATGCCTCTTTTCATTGAATATATTGACAGAATGGGAACTTTGTTCAAATTTAATCTGCTGTTTAATTCAGCAGTATAATTATTGTGCACTTCATTTTTATTATTATCTAAAGCTGTTATGGTTGTTTAGTATCTCCAAACCATTTTTCCCAAATTAGTTTTATTTTAAAACCATGAAAGTAGCACAGCTATCTAAATCAATGGTATTGTTCTAGATTTCTTCCTATGCAGGCAACTGACCTATATTAGATTATTCTTAAGTTGCTGAGAATCGGGCAGTGTATCAATATTTTTATCTGTATTATTCATATCTGCTTATTTCAGTGGGATTTACTCCCACCTATAAATACAATTATGAGAATCATTTAGACATAACAACTGCAACAGCATTCAGACACTTGTTGGGTTGGGATGCCATGCTTCCGGTGAGGTTTTCTCTCCCGGTTCCATCCACCAGTATAGTTAAAACTAGAGAGCATAGAAAGAGACAGTAACATTAGTATTCATTTTCTATTCCATTTTTTCCTTTAAATGTTTTGCCTTAATGAGTCTAGATTATTTGAAACCCTGCCATTTATGCATCTTAATAATTTATTAATGCTATGAATTTTGAGTTGGACTATTAATCCTATATATCTCTGTAGACTAAACAAAGAAAGAGTTATATACAAAAAAAATTTATCTTGGAAATTCTTCCCTGGGCTTATTTACCTATAAAGAACAGCAGAACATTAAAGAAAAATCTCAACCCAAAGCATATTACATATAGAAGCAATTTAACATTCCAGCATAGCTGAACACTTACTCAGGGATACGGAGGAAGAATAAGACAATGCAGTGTTAGAAAATGGTTAGATCTTTGAATGGACAGGTAATCAATTTATGACTGATACAATTAGCTCTGGAATCTTCTTTTGGCGAGTGAAATGGTCATTAAACAAGGCATCATATGGTTGCTTTGTTCAATGAATGCAATACTGGCTCCCCCATTGTGGTCATTATCTGATAGCATGAATTGTTAGGCAGAGTGCAAAGAAGCCTCAGGATGGTGAAGACAGCAATAGCTATAGGGCCCACTGGTATGCGGAAAGCAGCTGTGAGCTGGGAGGCCCAGTCTGGCTATTACACAGGGTCTACCATTGTGCAGAACACTGCTGAAGGTGCCCAGGCCTTTTCCTCCCATACTTGGGAGGCTGCTCCCCACTGTATCGTACCCGGGAGGCCTGCATAAATTGCAGCAGTATGCATAGAAGTCTCAACTTACTTTGCATTTTTCTGCAACTGCTGTCAGGTATACTCAGCTAATGGGCGGTGCATCCTTTCTACGGAGGCCTACATGCCAAGCTGATGTGCAGTGCATCCTTCCTCATGCTTTTCTGCAATGGGTGCCATTCTCACGACTGGAAAGCTCTTATTTCAAACTGTGTGATTTGGAGAATGAACCTTCCAAATGATTGAGAGAATGGCGGCAGCCTTTGTGATCATTTGGAAGGTTAGAAAGTTTATATGGGTGGCTGTAGAGTAAGCTAGATCAGTTAAATATACTTTCCCCTGCATTTGTATTAACAAATAAGTAGGTTACTTATTGAAAACTCTATTTGTTGATTCAGGAGACATCGTAAATTTAATAAGGCTTACTCCTGATTAAGCTTGCGTAAATTTGTAACCATATAAATAATACAGCAGCAGTTACTTTTTTTTCTTTTTCTGAACAATACAAAATCATACACAGAAAACTTTTATCCTTTTTTTAGTCTGGGATAGGTAATATACTGCTAATCCAAAATATCCATAGACAAGAATGGACCAAAAACTTCACAAATGGCATTTAGACTTTTACAAACAATAATGTTTAATAAAATGCCACTTGCCAGAAGTTAAACACTCTAATGATAAATCATGGTTAATTTTTTACCAATAAATCCTTTCAGTGATGCTTATAATTAATAAATGAAAAAGATCAATGAAATGCAGAAGAAAGAGATTAGTTGGGGGTACAAAATATAAAAGTTAATACCCAAATAATGAAATGAGGCATGAAGAGGATTTGAGTGATTAATTCAATAAATCCCGAGACCATGATATATTGCCTTTTTTATATCAGTAAGCTAACTAGCAAAGGACTACTTACAATTGCATACATTCTTCCATCTGGATTAATGTTCACTCAGTTGTCTGGACTGATTATGTTAATATATTTACATTCAATCTCTTGGGCATTTTAAAAAAATATGCTTAGAAGGTTACAAGCATTACTGTTTCCAGGACAGAGGTTTTCTATTATATGAAATATGTATCTAAATAATATCCTGAGTAAATTATTTAATATTGAATTTGTTCTATTCTTAAAAATAACTTTAGGCCTTTCTATATAATCACACCATGTTGGATCAAGATATCTGACTGTTTGAGGCAACTGATAAAGTGGCATTATAATCTCAATTTCACATTTCTGATAGTTGAAATTTCAACACTGATGAAGGCAAACTTTCTTTCAGCTGAGGGCAACAATGATAGCTTAAACATATGGAACATTATCAAAAGTTATTTGACCCTCCCAATATTGCTGGGAAAATATTCCTTGTCCTAGGCAACAAGAAAGAACCAATGTTAGAGGAGAGAGACTGACTGTTCACAATCATGAATTATAATCTGTCAAGTGCTTGCAAATGAATTTGGTTGGCCACATTGTATAAGATAAATCATGGTTTAACTTTCTAATTTCCAAACATACAGTATTTCCTTTTAGTGGACATACGATCTACAAAATAATGGATAGGATTCCAACTTGAATAAGAGAGCCACAGACAGAGACTGTAAAAAAAAAAAGTTTAGTTTTATATTACTTTCCTTCTTGTTTCATGATTTTCATGAGATTGAAACAGAATGGTTGGGCAAATGCTGACAGCAGAGTCCAGGGTAGATTCTATTTGTATGCCACTGCAACCTGTTTAAAACCTCACATCTGGCACATGCTACTTGGCTTTCATACAAAGAACACAGCATGTAGCAACTGCGCCTGGAAATCAGCATAAATTGAAAGCCAGAGAAAATGTTACAAGGATTGCAAGAAACAAGGATTCCCCTTGCATACTTTTAGAATGGGCCAGTTTACTTCACAGATGTTTGCTTTTTATAGCTA